TTTCCTTTAATTTTTTTTTTTTTTTTTTTTTTTTTTTTTTGGTACTGGGGATCAAACTTGGGTCCTTGTGCTTGCAAGGCAGGCAGTGGAACCACTGAGCTAAATCCCCGGCCCTATTCTTATGGTGAAAAGCCCAACTCTTTTTCTGAAAACAAGCATACCAGACTTCTTGTAGGAGATCTTATTGGGGCTGATCCCCATTGGCACGATTTCTTCAAATACACCAACACGCAATTCTGGAAAACAGTGAGCTCCTCCTTTGCTGGTCTAGCCAATGAGAAACAAAACAGAATACAGTCTTCCTGTCTCACCCTCAGGTACAAGTGCTAACATAAGAATTAAGATCTGTTTTGTAGTATGATGAAATCATAAGAAACTTCAAATTAGAAAATTAGGAAACCTCAATGGGTCAGTAAGGACCCAGAATGTTTCATATAATTCAATATATTAATAAGTACTGCATATTTCCAAGGTGTACAGAAATACTATATTTCTATGACTGTGAGTATTTAAGCATAAAAGCAAAGAACCACTGAGTAATTCCAATGTGCAATTACACCCTGGCTTTTATTCTAGACCCTAATCCCACCAGCATGACCATTACCTTATTACTTATTGTGATAAAGCATAAAGTCACTTAAACACAGCAGCTCAGTTGTGAGAGCCAACAGCTTCACTGTCCCATGTATTATGTGTATCTTTTAATTCCAGGTTTATTGAAAACACAGTAAACATAGGGGTCTGCTAAGACAGGCAGTCCCTCAAATGAACAAATACATTCAAGTCTTAAGAGTCTGAGGCTGTATAGCTAACAAATCCTTATTGTATATGAAAGGAGACTCAGGTCCAGAGTGGGCACTAGCTGGCACAAGGTTATGTAGTGACTCACTGGAAGAACAGGGATGAGCATGCCCCTTCTACTTGTAACATAAAGGATAAAGAGGGCTTATGTGGCACTGCTTAGTTTCTCTACAGTGACCTCTTCTTCAGTGACCTGTATTGAAGCAGAAGCAGCCAACTCTAGATCTTTTTTCATTTTAAATTTTTCTTACCTTAAAATCATCCTTACACAGATAATCTTTAAATAATGGGCAAGAAAGCATGACTTCCACATAAAGTCTGGTGGCCAATTTGCTCCCACCAACTGTCCCATTGATCCCTTCAGTAGCAATTCGAACCTGAGACACAAGATAATGAGAAACAGGGAACATAGCACATTCTTAGTTATCATTGGGTTGATGAGATTATCAAAAAAAGTTGAGCTGCTACATTACCAGACAAAAATACCCGTGTTTCCTATGAGGTATTCAGTTCATGCATGTAGAACAAGACAATCTGACTAAAACCTCTGGAAAGCCCATCTGCTACAGAGCTGCAGGCATTCAATAGCTAAAGTGGTGAATCAAGAGATTAGCCTAAATCTAGGTGGTACAATAGAGTCCCCCAGAAGCTAGCAGATTTAGGATCAAGATTAGCTGTACTGCCAGGTATGGTGGCGCACACTTGTAATCCCAGCACTTGGGAGGCGGAGGCAGGAGGATTACTGAGAGTTTGAGACCAGCCTGGGCTACACAGTGAGTTCCAGAGAGGTCTGAACTACATAGTGAGACCCTGTCTCAAAAAAACAAAACAAAAAAAAAGATTTAGCTGTACCACTTATTTGCCATGTAGTCCTAAGAAAGTTAAAGCTAATTGACTTCTCTAAACTTTGATTTATTCATATTAATAAAAAAGGGACATAAGAACACCAAAAGTGGGTTTAAAAAATAACTACTGAGGATATATTACTCAAATCCTAAAGTACGGGCATCCTAAAGTACATGTGGTTATCTCCGTATAGTGGTTGGGGGGACTCCACCACTGTAACCCCTACCCCCTAAATTCAAGTCCCAGGAAGGGTGTGTGTCCAGCTCACTGATGTATTCCCAATGCCTAGAACAATGATTGCTATCCAGGGGGCACTCAACACATAAATGAATGTGTATGCACATTGCAGGCTCATGTTGGCTTCTCAAACTCTGTGCTCTCTTTGAAATACTTCATTGGTTAAGGGATCTTACAGCCTAGGGTAGGGCATCTGCTGTATGGGGGCATGGTCTGGTAGGCCTGCAAAGCTAGTTATTTTGGTACTACAGAATCCTTCAGATGAGTTTAAAGATAGATCATCTTTGAAAGGAACCATCTCTAGAAAAAAGTGCTACCAAGTGCAACACTCTGTGGTATCATAGTACTCTCTGGAAAGAGAAACAATTTAAATCAAGGTCCCACATTGTTACTGTTATTCATACACAAGCACATCAGAATTTGAAAGTTTTAAGTGGCTGCCTTTTTTCAGGTTCTCAGAGAAGAACCTGAGTGGTTGACTTACTTGATCTAATTCTTCATAAGCCAATGGTAATGCACAGCTAGTGGCTGTCCAGTTTCATGATGAAGATTCCAGATTACATCCATACTACATAAGAAAGAATGCTGCAGTCTAGTACAGCTGCTCTGGATATGGGACAGAGAAGTAGGAAGCATATGCCACCTCTATTGCACAGGCCATTGCCCACACACAGAAACAGAGCTAAACTAGCCAAAGGGTCAGGAAATCCTCTCCAAAACAGTTTGACCAAGGAAGTTATGATCAGGTACATACTTCTATGTGACTGTTTTTAGGCAGACTAGCAATTATTTCCTATTTTATTTAAATCTCAGAGCCCAAATAAATGGCAAGCCTATCTATTTCCTATATAACTAGGACAGAATAATCTTTATACTCATGTCTTAGATTTGCAATTGCTGTGGTTCTTAAACTGAACATTTTCAAAAGAGCTCCTTGGTGGGCTGGGGATTTAGCTCAGTGGTTCTTGTGCCTGCCTCGCAAGCACAAGGACCCGAGTTCGATCCCCAGTACCAAAAAAAAAAAAAAAAAGAAAAAAAAAAGAGCTCCTTGGTAAGGAAGGCCTTATACCTAAGAAACAAATAAACAACAGCATTTACTGGGCACTGCTAAACAACAGGAGTTTATACTATAATCTGGAAGGGTATCATAATCACCATCTTAGACAAAAGAAGACACAGATGCTCAGAGAAATCAGGGAACTGCCCAAGAGCAATGAATCGGTTGGCAGCACTCTAGACCACATCTCAAAGCTCCAAATCTTTGATCTTTCCAGTTTCCCATGTATCTCCACACCGATATACTGTCAAACCTACCAGGACAAAACAGTGTCACTAAACTGGTATATATTCTTGAAGCCTAGAAATTTGGACCTGAGATCCAGGAAGATGCTGCCACCTTGTGGGTAGAACTTCCCACTACTAGTTCACCACAGGCTGAGCCAAGAATAAAAATCTGCCTCCAAACCAAGGAAAGAGATTGATTTCATATTTTGTACACCCTGTGAGAGCGCTAATCTTTCAAGGGATGGAAGTTCTCTGAAAAGAAATGTTGATATGTATTCATTCCACAAATATTTACTATTTGTTTTACTATGTACCAGAAATTGTGCTAGGACTTAGGGATACAGTGGTTTAAAAAATACAATTCTTCCCCTCTTGGTGAAACTTAGAGACTAAGGGAAATCATATATACTAAGAGTTACAAATAGACAAATACTATGGACATGACTATAAAATGTTATGAAAGAGAGTAATGAGAGAAATGGATTTATATTGAAGGTTAAGAAAGGTCTCTGTAAAGGAAGTATCATGAACTTACTCAAAGAACTAAGTCTTGAAGTAAAAATTAGTCTGGAGAATTATAGTGGGTATGGGAAAGTTTCTTGAAGACAATTTACCTGCAAAAAGGCCCAAAGACAGGAAGGAAAAAAAAAAAAAAAAACACTTCGGTGGGCTCCAAGATACTGAAAAACTTTGCTGCTAGAGTGTGAAGAGAGACAAATGGCATCAGATGAGTGGAAAAGACAGGAGGGCCCAATCACACAGGAACGTAGGGCATGTGAAGGATGTGGGGTTTAGCTCACTGGCGTTGGAAAGCCATACGGAGATACTGAATGTGGGACTGATAGGACTTTAACTTGTAAGATCACTCTGGCTATGGTGTAGAGAATAAAGGGTGGGTGAGGATGGAGGACTGCAGATTAATTTGGGAGCTATGACATGCCTAGGTAAGGGGTGGTGGTGGCTTGGCCTAAGGCAGAAGTGAAAGAGAGAAGTGAATGGAGTCAAGGGATATTTTAGAAGTGAAATGGCAGGACGGCTGAGGATTTAGCTCAGTGGTTCCAGTGCCTGCCTCACAAGCACAAGGTCCAGGGTTCAGTCCCTGGTACCTAAAAAAAAAAAAAAAAGGTAGGACTTGGTGATGAAATAAATGCAGCAAATAAAGTCACAATCTGTTAGAAAGCACAGGTGAGGAAGATAGCACCAACTGATCAATATATTACCTCAGGAAATTTAAACCTGAGTGATACATGGGAAAGATTAGGCATAAGATAATACAGTGTCATAACTGAAGGGGATCTCAGAGGCAATCTACCAACTTATTCATTCAAATTTTGAAAAGTATGCACTCTACACAATGTATATACACATACATATAATCTTAGAGGGCATTTTAGAAAAATAAAAACCATCCAGCCTATGTAGAAAGCATTCTGGTATATATTACTTCCCAACTTTATATACACACAATGTTGTCACGAACATGTATTCAGGGCTTTATCTCCAAATATGAGCTGGGTGTCTGCTACACGCTTAGCCCTGCTCTAATACTGAGAATACATAAATTAAGAAACACAAAGTCCCTGACCTTAAGAAGTTTCTATTCTATAGGAGAGATAGATTACATTTTCAGGTAATAAAATTTTTTTTGAATAGCAAGGGACAGAATGCGACGAGGGCTACTTCAGATCAAGTTCTAGGGAACCAACACTGAAGAAAAATCTGAGGGGAGGCACAAGCCATGTAAGACATAAGGGAAGATGCAGGGTATCCAGGGAAAGGTCATAGCAAGTGCTGCCAATACCTTGAGATGATAAAACACCATCTCACTGTCACATTCTAGGAATGTTGAGAAGCAATTTGGAATCATGCCTATACCTACAGTCTATGAAAGGCCTTTCAAATTTACATTTCACAACTGCTTTGCTATTCCAAGGCCAGCAAATTATCCCTGCTTTTGCATGTAGTTTTATCAGAACATAGCTACAGCCACTCTTTTAGGTACTGTTTATAGCAGCTTTCAAGCTACAACAGTGTTAAGTTTCTTTAATTTATTATCTGGCTTATTAAGAAAAAATTGGCTATGCCATTAAATATTACTATAAATTACCATGTTAACAGCTGTTCTCTACTAAAATGCCCAGCAGGATTTCCCTAACTTTTAAGAACCCAATAATGAATGTGTACAGGTTCTGCAGTTCAAGGTGGGGAAACAAAATGGACCCAGTGCTGGAGTTATATGGAGAAGGTATTACCTTGCCTGTGAGGTGCAGGTGCTGACACAAAGCTGTCTGCCAGGCACAGACCCAGTGGGGATCCTCCAGGTCACTGTAGCAGTAAAAAAGCAGCACCTCTCCTTCCTTACAGTCCTGGCCACTACAAAAAGAAAATCAGAGGGAAAAAGCATTGGAGTTGCCAGCGTAAGAAGGCCACAGTTCACAAAGTCCACTCAGATGGTATTCAGGTAAGGCAAAGGTGGAGCAACTCATGCTCACCTTTGCTCCTACTATGTTCTCCTGAGATGAGAAGACGATTCTTTTCTGTATCTCCTTTACAGAAGATAGTACATGTCTGCACTGAGCTTCCTACTTAACAAAAAGTGAGTTATCTCCTCCTTTAATGGTCATTTTCAAGAGATGAGTATTAATAACTCCATTTTACAGAAAAGCTAAATTGTAGGTCATTCTGGCTTATCCACTAACATAAGGTAGTACCTGTTTTTAATTGCTAATCACACAAAGCACACTTCCATTCCTTCATATAATCCTTTTACTTATGAGAGGTGATTATTCCCACAGGATAGACTTTTCACCTTAGCAATTTCATACTGTTAACAATAAAGCACTCAAGGGCCAGGGATTTAGCTCAGTGGTTCAGTGGCCTGCCTCACAAGCGCAAGGACCCAAGTTCAACCCCGGTACCAAAAAAAAAAAAAAAAAAAAAAAAAAAAAAACGAAACAAAACAATAAAGCACTCAAAAAGTTTAATATATTCATCACAGTTAGGAAATGAAATAGCATAATACAATTTGAGCTAAGAAAAAAAGTTAAAAATAATCCCATTTTCAATAGCTTAAAAAAATCACCTAGTAATCAACCTAATCAAGGAGGTGAAAGACTTCTATAAGGAAAACTGTAGCACTCTGAGAAAAAAGATTGAAGAGGACATTGGAAACTGGAAAGACATCCCCTGCCTGAATAAGAAGAACTGATGGTCAAAATGGCCAGACTACCAGAAAATGACATATGGACTTAATGCAGTTCCTATCAAAATACCAACAACATTCTTCACAGAACTAGAAAAACAAAAATTTATACGGAACCAGAAACGATCCAGAACAGCAGAACACGAATTTATCCCAGAGATGCAAGGATGGTTCAACATATGTAAATCAATAAATATAATACACTATATTGACAGAGTCAAGGACAAAAACCATATGATCATTTCAATAGATGTAGAAAAAGCATTTGGCAAAATTCAACACCCATTCATAATAAAAACCCTACAGAAAACTGGAGTAGATGGTCTTATCTATGAAAAACAACAGCCACCATCATACTAAATGGTCAAAAACTAAAAACCTTGACACTAAAATCAGGAACAAGACAAGGATGTCCACTATCACCACTCCTGTTCAATATAGTTCTGGAAACATTAGCCACAGCAAATAGACATAAAAAAGAAATTAAAGCAATAAAGATAGGAAAGGAAGAAGTTTAACTGCCATTATTTGCTGATGATATGATACTCTACACAGAAGACCCCAAAACTCTGCCAAAAGTCTTCTAGACTTAATTGACAGATTCAGCAGAGTAGCTGGATACAAGATCAACACTCAAAAATCAACAGCCTTCTTGTATACAAATAATAGAATCACTGAGATAGAAATTAGGGAAACAATTTTTTTTGCAACAGTATCCAAAAAAATGAAATATCTAGGAATCAATCTCATGAAGGAAGCAAAAGATCTCTACATTGAGAACTACAGCATTCTGAAAAAAAGAGATGGAAGAGGATATAAGAAAATGGAAAGATATCCTCTGCTCCTGGATAGAAAGAACCAATATAGTGAAAATGGCCATACTTCCAAAACTGCTATACAGATTCAATGCAATCCCGACTGAAATCCTAACAGTATATTTCACAGAACTAGAGAAAAAAATCTAAAAAATTCATTTGGAACCAGAAGAGACCTAGAATAGCAAAAGCAATTCTACACAACTGAGACATGGCAGTGGGTATCACAATCCAAAACTTGAAACTACACTACAAAGCCACTGTGATAAAAACAGAATGGTACAAAGAAACAGACCTGAGGACCAGTGGAATAGATGAGAAAATACAGAAACAACTCCAGACATACTCAGCCACCTCATCTTTGACAAAGGAGCCAACCATCCTCACTGGAGGAAAGATAGCCTCTTCAATAAATGGTGGTGGAAAAACTCGATTTCAATCTGCCAAAAATTAAAACCAGACCCCTATCTTTCACCATACACTAAACTAAAATCCAAGTGGATTAAAGATCTAAATATCAGGAGAAAAAATGAGAACCAAGACCCATCATGTAAAGGTACAAGATACCAATAATGAATGTAACTGTACTATATACCTAAAATGTACCAATAAACTCAATGAGAAAAAAAAATCTAAATATTAAAACAGAAACACTAAACTTGCTGGAAGATAAGTTAGGTAGAACCTTAAAGACATTAGCATAGGAAAAGACTTTATGAACAAATCCTCAATAGCACGGGAATTAGCACAAAAAAACAACTGGGATCTCATCTTATTAAAAAGCTTCGCATTGCAAGAGAAACCACCAACAGAGCTAAGAGACAATATACAATGTGGAGAAATAATTCTATCAGCTGTTCCTCACACAAAGGAGTACTACCTAGAATACACAAAGAATTTAAAAGAATCAGACACCTGAAATATAAAGATCCAATTCAAAAATGAACATCTGAAATGAACAGACATTTCTCAGACACAGAAGTAAAAGCAGCAAATAAACATGAAAAAATGTGCAACATCACTGGTCATTTGAGAGATGCAGATGAAAACAACACTGAGACTCTATCTCATCCCAGAAAGAATGGCTGCTATCATGAAATCAACCAATAACAAATGTTGGTGGGGTTGTGAGGAGAAAGGAGCCCCATTGTTGGTGGGAGTGCAGACTGGTGCAACCACTGTTAAAATCTATATGGAGATACCTCAAAAAAACTAGGATTAGAGGTCTCATTTGACACAGGTATTCTTTTGGTGAGTATCTTTCCAAATGATTTAAAAGAATTGGGCCAGGGATTTAGCTCAGTGGTTCCGCTGCCTGCCTTGTAAGCACAAGGTCCCAAGTTCTATTCCCGGAAAAAAAAAAAAAAAAAAAAAAAAAAGATTTAAAAGAATCATACCATAGTGATACTATGCACACCCATGTTTATAGCTGCACAGTTTCTAATAGGTAAAACTTGGAAACGTCCCAACTGCCATCAACTGGAGACTGGATAAAGAAGATATGTTTTGTTTTGTTTTTTATAAAATGGAGTACTACTCGGCCATAAAGAATGATAAACTAGAGACATTTATAGCTAAATGGATGCATACTGAGGACATACTCTTAAGTAAAATAAATAGCACACACATGTGTAAATACTGAATAGTTTCTCTGGTATGAAAAACTAAAAGCACAAATAAGGATCAAAATATATAATTGACAATGTGAAACAGGAAGAAAAAGTCTAAAGGAGTAGAGGAAATGTGAGGGGTAGGGGAAAGGAAATAAGAAAAATATAAGAAAAGGAAAAAATGGAAACAAAGTCTTTGTAAATAGGGAAGGGTGGAGCGGGTGAAGGGAGGGCAGGGGAATGGGGAAAAAAATAAGAGACAAGAAACATCATATAAAGGTACAATATCCCAGTGATGAATATAACTAACTGCATTGTATACCTAAAATGTAGCAATAAACTTAATGGGGTAAAAAAGGGCAAATGAAATTAATAGATTTCTCAAAATAAAAAAGTATTAATGGCTAATAAGTACATGAAAAAATGTTCAACTCTTTAGCCATCAAGGAAAAAAAATAAAACCAGAACTCTGAGAAGCTCTACTAAGAATGGCTACCATCAAGAACATAAAAACAAAGGGGAGCAAACAGAGCTTGAGGGGAGGAGACTCCTGGCGCTTCTTCTGAGCCTGCAGTCTTGCTGTAGTAGCTCCAGAGGGAGATCCTCTCCCTGGTGAGGAGCATGGAGTCATGTACACCAAACAGGTGATCATACAGGGTTCTAGAAGTTACACAGATCAGACAATTGTAGATCCCTTCAGTTCAGAACATAATGTTATTGACTGATAAAAAGGAAGTTTCACTTCAAAGGGCTATTGGTGCCAAAAAAGATCAGTATTTCTTAGATAAGAAGATGGTCATGAAAAATGATGTGATGAACCTCCTTGAACTAGTTTTTCTCAAAGCAATCTTTATTATGTCCAACAAGGAAAGATCAATCAAATGGCAACAATACCAGATTCTCAGAGACTAAAGCTATTAAGAGAAGTAGCTGGTACTAGATAGAATATATGATGAATGAAAAGAAGAAAGCATCTCTTTAATGAAAGAAACAGAGGGCAAACGTAAAAAATCAATGAGCTGTTAAAATACACTGAAGAGAGATTACATATTTTAGAGGAAGAAAAGGAAGAACTAGCTCAGTATCAGAAGTGGAATAAGATGAGATGAGCCCTAGAATATACCATTTATAAGCAGGAACTTAGTAAGACTCATGCTAAACTGAATGAGCTTTCTGCTAAGCGAGAAACTAGTGGAGAAAAATCCAGACAGCTAAGAATTGCCCATCAAGATACAAGAGATAAGATGGAAGATATTGAGGGCCAAGATAGAGAATTAAAAACAAAGATTTCAGCAATGACAGAAGAAAAACAACAGCTCAGTGCTGAAAGACAAGAGGCAAGTTAAGCAATGAACCACGTTAGAGCTTAAAGCTAAGGACTTACAAGATGAACTGGCAGGCAATAGTGAACAAGAGAAATGTTTATTGAAAGAGAGGCAGAAGCTGCTTGAAAAAATAGAAGAAAAGCAGAAAGAACTGGCAGAAACAGAACCTAAACTCAACAGTATAAAAGAAAAAGAAGAGCGAGGAATTGCTAGGTTGGCTCAAGTTACCAGGAAAAAAGGATCTTTATGTAAACCATAAAGCCACTTTATAGCAAAAGAAGACAGGGATAAAAGGATGGAAAAAGAACTCAAGTCTTTAGATCAGACTATAAATGACAAGAAAAGACAGACTGCAGCCATATATAAAGATTTGGAGGACACAGAGACAAATAAGGAGAAAATTTTGGAGTAATACAATAAACTGGATCAGGATCTTAATGATGCTCAAATAGAAGAACTGGATAGAAAATATTATGAAGTAAAAAAATAAGAAAGATGAATTACAAAGTGAAAGAAATTACCTGTGGAGAGAAGAGAATATAGAACAGCAAGCACTTGCTGCTAAAAGAGAAGATCTTGAGAAGAAGCAGCAATTTCTTAGAGCAGCAAGAGGAAAGGCTTTTTTTTTTGAGACAGGGTCTCACTATGTAGTTGAGTCTGACCTGGAACTCACTATGTAACCCGGCTGGTCTCAAACTCACAGCGAACCTCCTGCCTAAGCCTCCCGAGTGCTGGGATTACAGGCGTGCGCCACCATGCCCAGCTGGAAAGGCTATTTTAAATGGAATAGACACCATAAACAAAGTGCCAGAGCACTTTCATCGAAAAGGAATAAACCAGCCTGTTCAAAATGGTTATCATGGCATTGTGATGAATAACTTTGAATGTGAGCCCACCTTCTACATGAGTGGAAATCACTGCTGGGAACAGGTTATTTTATCACATTGTTGATCTGGATGAAGTCAGTACAAATATTTTAATGGAATTTAATAAAATGAATCTTCCTGGAGAGGTCACTTTTCTGCCTCTTAACAAGTTAGATGCCATGGACATGGCCAATCCTGAAACCAGTGATGCTATCCCAATGATTAGTAAATTGAGGTACAATCCCAGACTTGACAAAGCTTTCAAACATGTCTTTGGAAAGACACTTATTGTCATAGCATGAAAGTATCAACCCAACTAGCCCATGCTTTCACTATCAACTGCATTTTGTACAGCTTCAATTAAATAATTGGTTTTAGGATAAAAAAACATAAAAACATATGCTGGTGAGTATTAGGGGAAAAAGGAACTCTACATTGCTGATAAGAATGTAAACTAATATAACTACTATGGAAGATTCTGCAAGAAACTAAAACTAGAAATTTCATTCAACTCAGCTATATTTCTGGTTATAAATAATTGCATACCCATAATTATACCAGCATAATTCACAATCACTAAACTACAGAATCAACCTACATACCCATGAACAGATGACTAGATACAGAAAATGTGGTACACATAATAGAGTACTATTCAGCCATTAAGAAGAATAAATTCAAAGGCATTTGAAGGAAAATGAATTGATCTTGATGTTAAGTGAAATAAGTCTGACACAGAAATTTAAATATTGTACGATTTCTCTTATTTAAGAAACCCAAAATATAAGTAAAAAGTAAAATAGAGGGGAGGTGGTAAGAAACAGGGAGATAAGACTTTTTGAAGATGAGGAAGGAGATGAGAGAAAGGAAAGAGAGGGGAGGGTAGGGAGGTGCGGAAAGATATGATAGAGATACACAATCAACTTCTCAAAATGAATGCAATTATTATGTATCACAAATATATACCAATAAAAAATAAAAGAAAAAAACTTAAACCCCAGAAAATTTAGATATCAAAAAATTCACTACGTGGGGTCCGAATAAATTCTGATAAATGGTTCATTTATCTGGGTTTGCATATATAAACTCATCTAAATTACATGTTTTTTTTTGTTTTTGGTTAGTTTTTACCCTAACTCGATGTATTTATTTTAAAATGTTTAAATGGAGCTATAATTTACAAGTGAAACACATAGATTATACATGTAGCTTAATCACTTTTGATAGTTGGGTATAACTGTGCAATCCACACCCCTGTCAAAATACAGAACATCCCTAATACCTCAAAAAAATACATGCCTATAATACCAGGAAGCTGAGGCAGAAGGACTATAAATTCAAGCCCTGACTGGGCAACTAAGTGTGACTGTGTTAGAAAAGGAGAGGAAGAGAGGGAGGAGAGGAAGAGGAAAAGGAAAAAAGAGGAGGAGAAAAGAAGGGGGAAGAAGGAGGAGAAAGAAAGAGGGGAGATAGGCAAGGAGAAGGGAGGTAAAGGGCTGGAGAGGCAGCTCAGTGCTAAGGTCCTGGATTTGATCCTATACTGGGGGGAAAAACACAACAAAACAAAATACTATTGTCTATTCCAATTAAACCTTCTGCCAGAAGCAATCTATCATACATTTGTTTTGACCTCATGTAAATGAAATCACCAGAAGCAACCGTTCTATCTTTTTTGGGGGGCGGGTACCAGGGATCAAACTCAGGACCTTGTGCTTGTGAGGCAGGTAGCAGAACCACTGAGCTAAATACCCAGCCTTCTATCATCTTGAATTTGTTTTGCCCTCATGTACATGAAATCAGAATGTAGGCCCTTTCAGCTTTTGTGCTCCAGCATGACGATTTTGTTATTCACCCATATGGTCTTGAATATGTGCAGATCATGGTTCAATATTCATACGAATATGCCAGTTTATTCATTCTCGTGCTATGGACATTTACAGTTGTTTCTAGCCTGTTATACTTAATTAATAAGGTTCAAATGGTATAACTGATAGTGTGAAATAGGATGAAAATGTCTAAAGGAGAAGGGGAAGTGGGAAAAGTTAAGGGAAAAGAGATAAGGGAAAAGAAAAAATATGAAAAAAAGAAAAAATGGAAACAAAGTCTTTGTTAATAGGGAAGGGTGAAGGGAGGGGAGGGGATTGGGGAAAAAATAAGAACGAAGACATATCATATAAAGGTACAAGATCCCAATGATGAATGTAACTGCAATGTTTACCTTACATGTACTAATAAACAATGAAAAAAAAAAGTGCTATGAATATTCTTACTGAAAGCTTTTTGTGGACATAGGTTTTTTTGTTGGTGGTGTCATATACTTAGAACTGGATCGCAGGGAAGATGTCTAATTTTAATAAGAATCTGCTGAGTGTTTTTCCAGAGTGGTTGTACCTTGCCACATTCCTACCAATAATAACTGGGTGCTCTAGTTCCTCCACATTCTCATCTACATTTGCCAAAGTTGGTGGTTCTTAGTTTAGCCATTTTAATGGGTGAGTTATAATATAATAATCTTAAAATTAAACCAAAGTACAGAATGAAAACCTTACCTTATCAGCTGATCTGGGCTAAAGCAGCTTATATCAGGAAGCCAAGCAGACACTTCATGACTGTGAGTGAGGTACTCTTTCAGAAGGTTCTTTCTCTCTGCAGACCTAAGACTCTTTGAGGTACTCAATGTCATAGGCATCTGCTTTAAAACAGAAGCAGTCTGGTGATAAATTTCATCAGCATGTTGTGTTGCCACATGTCTGTGGATGCAGACTGGGTCCATGAATAGCTGCTGACAACATTTCCACCATTTTTCTTTACATTCAAAAGGAAGGGCTGGAATTTGTTTGGTTTTGACAAACAGGGCGAAGGCCTGCAATTACATTATCATTGTTAAGTAATTTTAGGTTACAGTAATGGAAGTTTCAATGAAATCCTTTATATTATCTTTCTACAGGAGTTTCTAGTTTTATGTTCTATATTCTACGGAAGAATTCCCTAAGATAGTAAGTTCTCTTATAAGAAAAGCTAGAAAGTCTTTATATTGTGGAAGTTTAATTGCACCCAGCTCTATAATTTTATTCTCAGGATGTAACATCTAAGTCATTTTGAAATATTTACATTTAATTCATTTTGGCCTTGTACTGTTTTCAGCAGCTTATGTACTAAAACTGGAATGATAAGGCATGGTATCTTATTCTGGCCTTTTCCCAACTTTTCTGGTACTCTTTTTCCATACCTGTCTGAAACATGGACAAACCCAGATACATCGTTTTCATCTTCTCACTCATGCCCTGCTGTTCCCCATGGATAGGTTGTGGGACTCTGGTGGCCTCTACAGAATCTCTCAAACTTTCATATATTTTAGAGGTCACTTCTGACATGAAACATTCTATGGTCCTCTTACTAGGTATTATTTCTCCATCTTCTGAATATAAAAATTACCATTTTCACTTTTCTACTTAATTATAAAAACTGGCTCTGCTATTTACTGTTTGTATCTTTGAGAACAGATAAAACCACGAAAATTATCCAGCATTTAGGGGTTGAGTTTTCATTTGGAAAAAGCCATAAAGAATTATATAAATGTTAAACAACATAATATGTCCTTATCTGGTACAGAATGTAGATGACATCATTCCTTTGCAGTGTGTTTCCCCATCCTGTTTTCAGCCTAACCTTTATTTTTCCTTTCACAATCTTATTAGTTGAATTGAACCAGTCTATTCACTGTTCGCTTAGTATGACTTAAACACCCCTGCTTTCTATTTTTGCTCATACTAATCTTAGTGTCTACAACACTCTTCTTCTTTGAAGGCCACTAAAATCTTACTTAAATGAAAAGACTAAGCATTATGAATATGTTAATTCTTTAAAGCATATATTTAATGCAATTACAGCCAAAATTGGATAAGGATCTTTAGGAAGTTGGCAAGATTGCTCTAAATAAAAATCTTTTACTGCCCATCAAAATCCATTTTGTTTTCTTCCTGGGCAAATGATATTTCCTAGCCTTTTCTGCAATTAAGCTTGGCCATAATAACCAAGTTTTTTCCAATGGAATATAAATGGATGCAACAAGTGACAACTCCAGTTCTGGTCCATAATAACCTATCCTGTGTGCTTCCCTATGTTCTGTTCCTCCTTAGATTACTGTCATGGATACGCTGGGAGCTATGTGTTAAGGCCTACAATAAAACATCATTTTTAGTCCCTGAAAACCAGTATGTTGATAAAAATACCCCACACACCTCTCAAGCCCAAATTCTTTCTGATGTGTTGAACCCCCAACAGATTGGGTTTGTTCGCTATTGTAGCCTAGGCCATCATGATTAATAAATGAGGAAATTCTATAAGAGCAATGACAAAAAACTTGATATACCAGATATAAACATATTTTAGAATTATGATAAGCAAATGCAGTAGTAGCCCATTCTAATAGGCATTTTTAAAAAACCAAAAACATAAATAATGAACACTTTTACTCCTACATCCAGTCTATCAGCTATACTTCTAAAAAATATCCATAATCTTTTGTAGGTTTGCTTTGTTTTTGAGACCGGGTTTCTCTACGTAGTTCAGACTGGCCTTGAACACATTCTGAATTGAAGCCTGGGCTGTATTCAAATTTGTGGCAATCTTCCTGCTGCAGCCCCCTGAGTGACAGGATTATGAGTATGCACCACCACGCCTGGTACAAAATATCATCTAACCACTTATCACTTCCCTTGACTATTATTCTGTTGATCGAAGCCAACATCATGTCTTTCCTCAATTATTACAATAGTCTCCTACTTTCCCTCTTTCCATTTGTATCCCCATAATTTATGTTGCATTTAGCCAAAAAGATATCTAAATAGGATAATGTCATTTCTCTGCTCAAAATCCTCCAAAGGCTCTTTCCTTCTCACTAGTAAAGTCCTTACAACATAACACGGCTCCTTGGACTACTCCAACTTTATCTTCTACCATACTAGCCTCTTGATGAATGGCACCTCAGGACAAAGGGAATATGTGTGTTACTCATATATTTCTTATAATTTGCTATAAGTTGAAATTACTGCAAAAATAATAGCTAAAAGACTTCTATAACCTTTAAATTTCATTTTCAAGGAGAACTGTATGAGAAAAGAGTGGAGAGGTGGTGGCAGCTAGGAAGTTACAGAGGCATCATTATTCACTGACATGGAGTAAAAGATGGCTCTGTAAGAGAGGACAAAAGATTGAAGGCAAGACAACTAAGTCTCAATTGTATTTCCTTGGCTCATTTTCTTTTCTGAACCTTAGGTTCTCTATTGTTAAAAGAAGGATTAAGCCGGGCCTGGTGGCACACACCTGTAATCCCAGCACTCAAAAAGCTGAGGCAGGAGGATTGCTGTGAGTTGAGACCAGTCTGGGCTACATAGTGAGACCCTGCCTCAAAAAACCAAAAAAGAAGGATTTAGTGAACAGTTTCCAAAAGGGGGTTGGTGGTTAATGGTATAGAAGATTACCATCAATACCATCTACTCTCCTCAAATACTCTACCATAACTATGTAGGATCACACCCTGCTCAGGATCCTCCTTTGCCTGGTTAATTCTGACTAGACTATTCCTTGAACTGGAGGCTAATCTCATTGTTACTTCTAGTATACCTGAATTAACTATATATATACATATGTGTGTGTGTGTGTGTGTGTGTGTGTGTGTGTGTGTGTGTGTGTGTGTGTGTGTGTAAATGGTCATAAAATCTTCAACAGTAATCTTACCTTTTTCTTTGCAAATGAATATTTCTTTTTTGTAATGCCATCTAACTCTGCCTTGAGATTGATGCTTGGGTGAGTAAGATTTCTATCTTTTAAATCCAAGTCAGAAAATTTTAAAACACAGGCTTCCTGGTCATCTCCTTGGTTGGAAGAAGTGGAAGAAGGCATTTGGTTTGGTTGCAGCAATGAGGCTGACTTTTCAGTTAAGTACCTGCTAGGATGTAAGCAAAGGAGAAACAGCAACACCAAAGTCTTTAGTTACTTCTTGAAGCAAATATGAAGCTAATTAATCATGCAACTTGGCATTTATTCAGTAAACCAAACTATCTATTCATTCACTCATCCAACAGTATTTAACAACTATGTAATGCCAAACATAGTTCTACCTACTGGAAATATAGCAGCAAAAGAAACAGGAAAAAAAAATCAGTCTTCTTAAGAGTTATATGACATTGAGAAGAGATAATTTAAAAAAAAAAAAAAAAAGTTAAAATGAGAACCAAGACCTGGCACATAAAGGTACAAGATCCCAGTAATCAATGTAACTGTACTGTCTACCTAGAATGTACCAATAAATTCAATTTAAAATTTAAAAAAAAAGATGGGAAAAGTTTATGAAGAAAAACAGTTAAGAAAGTAAAAGGATGGAAGGCCTCTTTAAACACAGAGGATAGGAAAAGCCCTTCCAGAGCAATAGAGTAGCATTTGAGCAAAAATATGTCTGAAGCAGCAAGCCATAGAAATATTTAAGAGTAAATGAAACCAAAATGCACAACTTACAAGCAAAATCAATCAAGCCATGAGCCAGTACTTTATATTATGAATACTTTCTTCTTTTTCCTCCCTAATTTCAGAGCCCTTTTTTTTCTTTTTCTTTTTTTGAGACAGGGTCTCGCTATGTTGTTCAGGTTAGCCAGGAACTCACTATGTAGCCCAGGCTGGCCTCAAACTTGCAGCGACACTCCTGTGTCAGCCTCCTGGTTGCTGGGATTACAGTGTGCACCGAGCTTGGCTTGGGGCCCATTTTAATGAGCCAGGGTATCCATATTACTACTGTGGCTAAATCTTGTCAAAATGGATACACTACAACCAACATAATGCATTCTTTCTTTTATATAGTAAAGCAAATGTTATATGTAACAAATACTAAGAGGCAAGATGAAGCACTGAGAAAGGCATATTCTTTGACTGCAAGTATGTGAATATAGGTAAGCTATTTATGTCTTCTGAGTTCTAATTCTCTAATCTGTAAATTGAGAATAGCAGTATTTACCTTACAGGACAAGAAAGGGTTCAGCAAATAGTAATATTATTATAAACTTTTCAACCTAATTTAATGCTGTATTTTATATTTAACATTAAAGATGGATTTCTCCAAAAATGAGCTATAACATTTTATTTTCCAAAAATGTCCATAGCCATTCCTGGTCTATTTCTCTACTCTCCAAGCTTATATCGGCCCATAGCTGCTCTCAAAATAAAACATGATGGAAGCAATACTGTGTAGCTTCTAAGTCTGGGTCCTAAAAAGGATATACTTGCACTGGCTCTCTGCTTTTAGGATGCTCAGATCCCAACCACTACATTATGAGTTAAAACCAATCCAACTCACAGAGACCACACATAGGGAACTATGTAGAGAGGAACTGATGCTTTCAGCTGAGAGCCAACGCCAAATGCCACTCAGCTGGTTCCAGCCTCAGCCTTTGAGCTGCAAACAGAGACAAACTGACTCTGTTATGCTCTATCCCACTTCCTGCCCGCAGAACACTAAATCATTGTCACTAGTCAATTTGGTAAATTTGTAAATTTGGTAAATTTGTCTCCTAAAAGCAATCCTGAAGGAGGCAGTCTGAGGTAGACACGAGGTTCTGAAGAATGGAAACAAGCAGAGAGGTCCCGTGTTCCAGAATAGGATACAGAGAAAGACTGTCACTGAAAATGAAGAAAATGTGGTACTAGGGACTGAAACCAAGAGCTCCGTACTGAATTACATCACCAGCCCTTATTTATTCTCGAACAGGGATATATAAGTGGCTAAATTGCTTAGGCTGGGACTTAAAATTGCAATCTTCCTATCCTCCTGCTTCAACCTCTGAGAATGCTGAGATCATAATCACTTGCCAGCACATCCAACTTGTGGGATGATTCTTTTGTTTTGTTTTTGTTTTTGAGACAGGGTCTTGCTATGTAGTTCAGGCTGGCCCCAAACTCATAGCAATCCTACTTCCTCAGCCTCCCAAGTGCTGCGATTACACAGGTGTACACCACCATGCCCAGCTTATGGGATGATTTTTGGCTCCTAATTTTCTCACAAAATTGTCTAGCTTTTCAGAAAATCTTATCAGATTCACTTTACGACTACCCTGATGACTACCCAATTTTAAGCCCCCAGCATTTCTTGTTTGGTTTACTGTAACAGCCTAACTGCCTTTTCCCTGTAATCAGGAAGATAACTATTTTTTTTAAAAGTTGGGCTGCCTTTCAAAGATTTCTCAATTTAGTCAATGCCTAAAATCCTTAAAAAGTTCCTCCCCCTTACATCTCAGATCTCATTTTCCACTCCTCTCCCTTTGCTTACTATCTCAGACTGTATTATAGTATTTATGCCTATTCTTTAATGGGTCATTCAGAATATCAGGATCAAGATAGGATGAGTTTTCCTTTGCTCCCCTGTATCCTAAAACACTGCCTAGTATATAGGAGGTGCTAAATATTAATAAGTACTGCATGATACTTGTTCAATAAAATGTTATTGAATAGTCAAAGAAATACCTCAATAAGGAACAGATAGACGGTTGATGTGAACCCTCAGCCAAAGTAAGCATAAGTCAGTCGTGCAGCTTTAGGAGCAGAGACCTTCAGGTAAAGGAAATAATGAGTACAAATTCTTAAAAGGGGAACAAGCTTTACTTATCTGAGAGAGCGAATGGCTGGAGCAAAGAGAAGTCAGAACCCTACTGGCCACGACTGGAAGTTTGGAATGGAAAGTTCATGGAGAGCTTTATACAAGGATGTAGCGAGATCTGATTATGGATTTGCTTTAAACATACAGCCGTTAGGGTTTATGGAAAAATGGTCATGTAAGAAAGGAAAAGATACTAAAGATGATTCCTCACTAGGTTTTTACGTTAAGCAACCGAAGGATGGTGCCGTGTACTGAAATGGGTAAGTCTGAGAGTGGAATAGTTTAGGCCGGGAGAATGAAATTTCAGATAATCGTGGGCAAGGCAGTATGGTTTATGCTCATTAAAAACATCAGGACAAGGGACGTTCAGATAATGTACACATTAACATTTACCCAATAACTATTAGAAACAGATTGTAACACTGAAAATAATCATTTGCTCCTTCTTAAACAGACAACTCGGAGGTGAACGGCAAGACCGCCAACGCAGCCAGCTCGCGTCGTGACGGGTCTGTCCATCCCAGGAGGAGGCTTGTGTGGCGCCACCTTTCGCCCAGGCACTAACCCAAGCGCCGGGCCTGGCCCAACCTCTCTGCCGAGCTTCCGGAGACGGCAGAAACCATGAGGTGGGAATAAGATAAGCACGTACCCGCGGGTCCCGATCTTTTCCAGTTCTGTCCTGGACGAACAGCCTTAGCCTAGAAAATGTCGCGGGCCCCGCCCTCTAGCTACAGCCGCGCCGGGTGCCTGCGTGGAGGGACGCTCGTGACGTCACCGCGCTCCGCGGGAGTAAGCGCAGGGACAGCCGGGAAAACGTCGCGAGGGACCAGGCTGAGGCGACGACAGGGGTCGCTCCTGTACCTCTCGCGTGCAGACCTGATTCGCGGCCGGCGGTCTCCGGCTAGCTGCAGCGGGGGCGCCTTCTGCGTGTCCCCGGAAGCACACAGAGCAGAAGGCGGGAAGAGGAAACAACCGGCAGCAGAGGAAGGCGGCTGCATGCGGACCAGTCTCCCGTAGCCCAGGGAGCACGCAGACGCCTGCCCCTCCCGGCCCAGCCCACCCAGCGGCGACTCAGCGCGCGTTTCCGGGAGCCGTCACGCGAGTG